TGTGCCATCTCCCCAGCCTCAGTTAGTTAACTGTTAATATTTGAATTTTCAAAGTTACACTTTATTTGTTGTTGTTGTTGTTGTTGTTGTTGTTGTTGTTTGAGACAGGGTCTTACTTTAGCTCCAGTTGGCCTAGAACTCGCTCTACAGATCAGACTGGCCTCGATCTCATAGAGATCCACCTGCTTCTGCCTCCCAAGTTCTGGGATTAAAGGAATGCACTACCATGCCCGGCCCAAAGTTACACATTTAAAAAAACCCAACTTTCATTACTTTCTGTCCAAACTATGACTCTAATACAAAACGAATAAAATAAAAACACTCGCAAACTTTCTCTGCCAAGTTTCCAGAAACTCTAGTTAGCAGACTAGACTGCTTAAATAATTTCAGTTACAAACTTCATCAACTAGTCTTAGTTTTGAGCTGCATTTTATAAATGTAATATATTCATGCTACTATATGGAGATGCTTGACAGGAACACACTTGCAATCAGAACAAGTTAAAACTTCTCTAGAATTTAAAGATCTCTTTTTACAATCCTAGTCAAATAAACTTTAGAGTATCATAAAAGGAATTTTCTTGCATATTCTAGCTCTGTTTACAAACTTAAAATCTATAAAGATTTTAAGTGAACTTGATCTACTGGTTATATATATGAAAGACTTAGCTGTGATTTTCTCTGGCTATTGCTGAAAATCACCTTCTTTATGCTTTCCTGTATTTTGCAAATTGTAAACCTTTCAGCTGAACATCCCAAGGTTAAATTAAATCAAATATTTTATACTGGTATCATGAAGACAGTCTCCTGCAGTCAGAGCATGCCAGGCTCTCTTGAAATAGCACATACTAGCCTTATTCAGGGCATCTTAATTTGGGTAGCTGGAATTCAGCAACCATTAGCCTAGCCGGGATTCAACTAATCTCTTTCCCACCTGTCTGAATTCAACATTCTTTTCATATTTCTTTTGTCTAGCTCCATCCACAAAAGATACCATCCATCAGCCTTTCTTTGGTCCAAAACTGAGTTGAATCAAAGTTTTGTTTTGTTTTGTTTTTATATATTTTTTAATGTGTATGAGTGGATTGCCTGCATGTATGTGAGTGCACCTGTGTCGTGCAATGCCGCAGAGGTCAGAAGAGGGCTTCGGATTCCCCTGGAACTGGAGTTAAGGATGGTTTGTAGCCACCATGTGGGTGCTGGGTATCAAACCTGGGTCCTCTGCAAGAGCAGTCAGTGCTCTTAACTGCTGAGCCATCTCTCCAGCCCTCAAAGTTATTTTTTAGAGTGGACATGCTATAGCCCAAAGATCCCCTTGAAATGTACATACATGTCTAACTTGGATGGAAACCATGTCACCTCTAAGTTCTTGTACCACTACCATCATCACACACATACCAGTCTGCTTCCTCAAGAAGAGGTGTACTGGGGTAACAGGCTATTGTGTGATGAATTTAATGCCTTTTAAAACATTTTCTGTTGATATTTGCTTAGAATGCTCTGTAAAAAGAACACAAGGCTTTTTGTGAGCCATTTTTGAAAAGCTTGTCTCCGAGGTAGCTGCAAACGCAAGCCATTGCTAGGAGAAATTTTCTTATATGAAGATGGCTAAAGCTGGAAGAGATTCACTAATTATTAGTTCAATCTCATGCTGTACAAAAAAACAGGGGGAGAAGAATGTATAAGGCCTCTGCTTCGTGTACATTCCAGTTGCCGTACAAGTTAGGCTTTGATTAAGATTCCCAGAGTGGCATTCAGTGAACCTCCTCCACTCTTTCACCCAGACATACTGCGGATATCACCTTGTGTCTTAAACTCACACATCCCCCGTGTTACATTCTTCATACACCATTTGTTTCCTTCCACAGTCTGTGAAAGAAACCAGGCACTCACTACTCCAAATTTCTAGCCCAGCGTCATACGCACCTCAATACTGAAATTTCAGAGGATGAAATTAAAAAGAAAATCAGTGAATAGAGTCATTTTCTAAGATTTTGGAGGCGAAGAGGCAAGGTTGGGCGGAAGGTATGGTATGGATGCAGGATCCAGAAAAAGATGGAGAATAAGAGTTGAGATACTTGTAAGGAGAGAGGAGGATGTGGGCAATATATTGGGCAGAGGACAAATGATTGGCAGAAATAGGCCCTCTAATGGAGAGACAAGAACAGAGGCACAGGCTGAAACGCAGATTTTGAAGGAAGGCAAGATGCTTCACTCGCCAAACCATGAGGAAAAGAAGGGGGAGCTTGAAATGAACACTGTGAGGACGTGCGTGGGGAAACAGTTCTGATAATGGTGAAGTCAGTAGGGGATACAGGCTGGGTAAACATGGAAAGATGGAGGATATGGACACCACCAGTAGCTAATTAATGGAGTCATGAGGTGAGGGAATGAATGACCTAGAAGGACGTTAGAGTTAAGAGATTTCAAGTTGGTGGGGGTGGGGATCCTGAGTTAATGATACCACTGGGCAGGACCACTGAAATGCCAGCAGGACAGGATAGAGACTGCAACAGAAGACCCAGTGCCAGTGGGTCAGGAAGGTCACCCTCCCGCACATAGGAGCCACCCAGCTGACAGCTGGCCAAACCTGGGGGAGAGAAAGGTCATGAGCCTGCTGCCAGACTTCTACATGAGTTCTGGAGACTGGTGGCTGATAGATACATGGTAGGTTTGACATAGGATAAGATGTGAGGGAAATTTATGTGAGATGGGAAGAATATGGCCAGGCAACATTTTTAGAGAGTAAAGTGATACTAACTCCCAACACCCAGTGCCAAGGGGCAGAGGGTGGGTACGAATGAGACTCACAGGATAGAGGTACTTGGCGCTGAGCCTGACAACCTGAGTTCAATCCCTACGACCCACATGGAAGAAGAAGAGAGCCAACTCTTGTAAGTTGTCCTCTGATCACCTGCATGACCACCCCCGGATGTTAATTTTTTTTTTTTTTTTTAACAAGAATGAATCCTCTCTACCTAAGAAGGATGAAGGAGAAATGGAGGTTAAGACTTCAGCAATCAGAGGAAACAGGAAACTTGGTAGAAATGGTAAGGATATAGACATAGGGTTCTGAGGATGCCACTGGAAGGTATAGAAGTTGGGGAGGCAGGAGGAAAGCAAAAGCACCCTGAGATAGTTCTAAATAGGATAAAGCCCAAAGAGGTCTTTACTCAAGGATAGAGTGACAGGTAAGAAGGGCAAAAAGCAAGGAGGGCTTGGACCTCAACTGAAGAGTTGTGTGACCTTAGTCAAGCTAATTGCTCTCTGCCTCAATTGCATCATCGTAAAATGAGGATAGTACTAGTGCTAAATTATGATAACGCATTAATACCTAGAAAGCAGTTAGAAAAATGAGTAATGTAATCAGCATCTAAGAAATGTTAGCTTTAGAAGAAAAGACATTCCTACATCACATTTACCGCAAGTTACACATGTACAGTAAAATCAAACCTTGAAGAACACATTCACTTCCTGTCACACATAGCAAAATCCCTGCCAGTAAAGCAAATAAAACCTGTCAGAGTCTCTGATTTGATTTCTTACAAGTGTATCCAATGACAGTCTATCGTTAAATACCCCTGAAAAGGCAGAGAAGAGAGGTGAGAGACATTTGGGTAAAGACAATGAGAATCTAGAGCCATAAAGTTAGGATGGGACAGCCATTGTGAGAACAGCATTTCATCACCCTGAATCAGTGTGATGGTTCTGGGTGTGGTGGCACATACCTGTAATTCCAGTACTTGGGAGCCAGCCTTGAGTTTAAGTTACTGAATGAGTTCAAGGCCAGCCTGGGTCTATATATGACCTTGCCAACAAAACAAAAAAAACCAACACCACCCCCAAACAAACAAATGAGGAAAACCAGCTAAATCAGTAAGATGGACCATTAAAATAGTAAAAATAAAATTGCCATATGATTTATCAAAGTCAGTTCTGGATGTATGTATATAATGTGTATGTATAGAAAAATCTGAAAGCAAGGGTTTGAACAGATATTTGTATGTACGTGTTTTGTGTTTATAATAGTGCTACACATGAAACAGGGAGAATGAGTGTAGTGTAGAGGGTTCTTAGTCTCATTCAGAAAAGAATTTAAGGATGGACTCAAACAAAAGCTGTAGGACAATTTTATTAGAAATTTAAAGAAAAACCTCAGGGCAATCAAGCTGGCAATATTGGCAGCTGCCTTAAGGAGGAGAATGGAGGAGAGAATGAAAGAAAGTCATGAAGTCATACAGGTTTAGAGCCTGCATGGAGGTCAGACATGTGCCTGACTCTGACTGGCAGTCACATGGCTGGGAGAAGGAAGCTTCAGAAAAAGTGAAGAAATATAAGATGCTAGGACAGCCCAAAGAATTAAAGAAAGCGTGTTTAGGAAAAGGGATATGGCAGCTGGGCGTGGTGGCACATACCTTTTAACCCAGCACTTGGGAGGCAGAGGCAGGTGGATCTCTGTGAGATCAAGGCCAGCCTGGTCTACATAGTGAGTTCCAGGCCAGTTGAGGCTACAGGGAGGCCCTGCCTCAAAAAGACACCCCCACACACACACAATGGATATGAAGAAGAAAAGGAAAGATTACTCTTTTCTGAAAATTTCAGAAAAGCAGGCAGACTTACAGAGAACTACATATCTGTGGCTAGGTCCGGAAGCAGGATTCCAGGCAGGAAAAATTCACTACCTCATTAATGCACTAGGTATTCCACCCACCTATTTAGCATAACTTAAGGTGAACATGCCTTCCTAGGGGTGGTTCTATAACCAGAAGATTGACCAGTGAAACTGGAAAGATGGGTCTTCCAACAGATAGGCTAGAGATTTTATAGTTTTGACCAGTTAAACTTATGGGGCTATTTGCTACTCTAACACTCACAATGGCCAAGTAGAAACAATGTAAATGTTCACCTGTGGATGGGTGGATAAGCGAAAGGTGGCAGACAAAGAGCCTTTAAAAGACAGAGAATCGAAGGTCGGGTCATGGTGGGGCAGAGGTTGAGAAGATGGCAAGGCAAGGCTGGGTATGGAGAGGCCGGGGCTTCGGCCAGGCGTGGGTTCTGCCCACGGACATGCCCTGCTGCGGGGAGCTCCCATTAGCTGGGTCGCCGCAGCGGCTCCAACGCAGGTTTTACTTCTTTATTCAGCAAAAATATGGATTCAGAAAAGCTCCAAGGAAGGTTGAACCTCGAAGACCAGATACAGGATCAAGTGGTGAATCATAGAAAAGAAGTGCTTTGAGCCCTCCTATAGAAGAGACAGTCTTTACCCTTCTCCCTACCCTTAAGACCTCTTGGGAAACCTTTATTTTCACTGTTGGGTTTACAGGCTGTGCATTTGGATCAGCTGCTATTTGGCAATATGAATCACTGAAATCCAGGGTCCAGAGTTATTTCAATGGAATAAAAGCTGACTGGTTGGATAGCATAAGACCACAGAAAGAAGGAGACTTCAGAAAGATTAGCAAGTGGTGGAATAGCCTAAGTGATGGCCAGCATACTGTGACGGGTGTCACAGCTGCAGATGTCCTTGTGTTCTGCTTATGGAGAGTACCATCACTACATTGAACAATGATCAGATATTTTACATCCGATCCAGCATCAAAGGTTCTTTGTTCTCCAGTGTTGCTGTCAACATTCAGTCATTTCTCACTTCTCCTTATTTCACATGGCAGCAAATACTATGTTTTGTGGAGCTTTTCCTCCAGCGTAGTGAACATTCTGGGTCAAGAGCAGTTCGTGGCAGTATACCTATCTGCGGGTGTTATTTCCAATTTTGTCAGTTATGTGTGTAAAGTTGCCACGGGACGATATGGATCTTCACTTGGTACAGGTGCAATCATGACCATGCTTGCAGCAGTCTGCACCAAGATCCCAGAAGGGCAACTCGCTATCATCTTTCTCCCATTCCACCTTCACAGCAGGAAATGCCCTAAAAGCCGTCAATGCAGTGGATACAGCTGGGATGATCTTGGGATGGAAATTTTTTGATCATGCAGCACATCTTGGAGGCCCTCTCTTTGGAACTGGTACATTACTTATGGTCATGAACTCATTTGGAAGAACAGGGAGCCTCTAGTGAAACTATGGCATGAAATGAGGACTAATGGCCCCAAGAAAGGAGGTGGCTCTAAGTAAAGTGGGGCTGGCCAATACTGCTGTATCCAATCCTTTCTGCTGGGAACTCACAGCCAAACCCCTGCCTAGAAGATACCCAGCATCCAGTTGCCCAGTGTTTTAAATGTCTCCAGCACATATCTTCTTAGGAAGCAAATTATGGCAAAGTTGTGAAATAAATGTTATATCTCTAGTTTGTAAAAAAAAATTTTTTTAATTAGAAAAGAAAGACAGAGAATCCTGTCACATCCTAAAACACAGAGGGACTTTGAGGACATTGTACTAGGTGAAAGTAGCAGGTCACAATGAGACAAATGCTGAATGAGTTCTTTTATATGAGTCAGGTTATTCGAATGCACAGAAAGAGAGACTGTTATGATGGCAACTGAGGCTTTAGGGAAGGGGAAAAGGGAAGTTGTTTAATGAGGAACCAAGTTTCAGATTTCTAATATAGAAATGTTCTGGGAATCTGATTCGCAACAATGGGAGTATATATAATGCTACTGGACTGTTCATCTAAGAAAGGTTATATGCTCCTGTAATCCCAGCATGGGGTGGGGGGGAGGCTGAAACCAAGAAGAAGGCAAGTTCCAAACAGTCTGGGCTGTCTATTGAAACCCTGTCTCAAAAGCACAAAAATACTGTGAAAATTATAAATTTTATGTTACATATTTTTAATCACTATAAAGAAAAAAAGGAATAAAGACCCTTCAGCATCTCCCCTCTGCCTTACAGATGACAAAGGCAAAAGAGGGTAACTAATTCATCCTGGGTTGCTGAGTTCATGGACAGGGAATTGGAACCAGAACCCAAGACCTGTCACTTACTGTTGGGATCCATCCCTCTCTGTCTCTGATTCTGTCTTTCTGTCTCTGTCTCTGTCTCTGTCTTTCTCTCTGTCTCTGTCTTTCTCTCTGTCTTTTACTCTCTGTCTCTCTGTCTCTTCTCTGTCTCTCTCTCTGTCTCTGTCTCCCTTCTCTCTCTCTCTCTCTCTCTCTCTCTCTCTCTCTCTCTCTCTCTCTCTCTCTTCTCTCTCTCTGAGATGCTGAGGTAATGGAAAAGATGAGGGAGGGACAGTGACATTCTGATGAACCTGAAAGGGATAAAGAGTCTCCTCTGCTTATAAATATTTCTGCTCCTGTGCCCTTTCTCCAAATCTCATCAGGATTATTCAGATCAGCAAGCTCCGACAGGCCACCCTGAAGCCTCGAGACACTCCAGAGCTCACAGAGTCTGAGGCAGGCGGGAAAGCTTTTCTGTTCCTCGGCTGTTCCCCCTGTAATTTACAAGTCCAGACAGTCCCAGAGGAAAACAAGAAAAACACAGGGGCCCACTTTAAAATGAGCTCAGTGTGGGGTCTCTCCTGCAGCGTAGGAAGCAGCTAGTCAAAACTTGCTGCCTCAAGGCAGGCTTCCTCATTCCCTGCTCTGAACCAAGGACGGAAGTCTTTCTTCCGGTTTAGTTTTCCTTTAGCTCCTCATTCCAAATTCCATGGAAGAGACACCAGGAAAAGCTGGCCCCGGCTCAAAAGAAGCAGAGATAAAATGCAGTCCTCTATTTTTGCAAGGGTGATTCCGTAGGTTGTCCTCTATCTTCCAACAGAAATTTCTTTAGTTTCCATGGAAACAGTGAGGGTGATTAAAGATTCCTTACAGGACGTCTGCAGGATTGGTTCTGGGCAGTTGGTACTGGCTTCCAGAAATCTCATCAGGTTCAAAGTGCCAAAGCTGACACCACCTCACTGTCCCAACCCTGCTCCTCTCCTTTTGATGTAGAGACATGGCATATGTAGAACACCCCTCCCAATTCAGAAAGTGTCAGGAAAATCTCCCTGCATAAATACGTCGGGTGATGAAGATCTAAATAAAACATTTTGGCAAGGACATTTCTAAAGATCTTTCCACTGAGAAATATTTTTTTGTTTTCAGCAACCCTTCAGAGTTTAAACCAGGATGCCTATAAAAAGCCTTCTGCGTTCTCTTGAGCGCTCTTCATGAATCCTCAGGAAGGATGGAATAAGATGAGGGTCAGAGACCCGGAGCCTGTGCCAGACACTGAGATGCCAGCTTGGCTCTCTGTGCTGGTGGTGCAGCTCAGGGCCCCTGCCTCCTGCCTCTCCTGCTGGCATGGCCTCTGCCCAAACTCCTTAAGGGAATTGGCTGTGCTCCTGGCTTGCCTCACCTATGTTTCTGCTAGTTACCAAACAAAGGGTGGAATCATTTCCATACCCAGTTTCCCAGACAGTCACAAGCATGGATCCATGAACCAGACACGGATAACTAAGAAGACTGAGCACGAAGCCCTCTAGACAGGATTCACCCACATCTGAGATGCCATTCCTGTCTCCAAGACACACTTGTCATGTAAAAGCCAATGAGCCATGCAGGAAACATCAAGTGTCTCTTGTTCAGAGCTGACCCTAGAGAACATGGACCTTCCTGAGCTCACACCAGGCATAAAGTGGGGAAAGCAGACAGGAGTCAGAAGACAAGAAAGTTTGGTACATCCAGCCTCATCTCCTTTACTCCTCCACTAAGAATCCCTGTCCTCAAACTTCAGAACTCAGCTTTGGAGCCTGAAACCCAGGAACCAATGCTCTGACCATCTGAGGCTCCTCCTCCAGGAGCTCAATAGAATTTCACAGATTTTTCACAATTCCATCCTACCTTGTCCAAGAAAATTTAAGACTTAATATCTCATAGAACACTGCGGAAATAGGGTCCCTAGGGAATGATTAGACCCAAAGGCCTAGGGAAAAGTGGGGAGCATTAAAAAGAGGGGAAAGAGGGAGATTATTTTGGGGCAGGAGACAAGAAAGCCATTGGAGGAGGGCAGAAAGTAAAGAACAGCAGCTTGGAGGGAGACAAGAGGGAAACCATTGCCCTAACAAGGTGTTTCTTCAGGGTTAGGGAGAAAGCCTACAGAGAGCACTGCGAGGCTGAGGCTGTTGATGGTTTGCTGGTTACCGGCTTGGGAGGTGGAAAAAAAATTGCATCCATAATTATATCATCCTCTGTATAAAGCTGAGGACGAAAAAAAACACCTTTGTTCTTGAATCGAGACACTTAGTTTTATTAAACGAATCTAGTCCTGTGCATCTAAGAAGCCATATGCTCTTACATTTCAAAGCTGACTTGAGTCTTCTTGTCTAGGTCTTATGAACACAATGGAGCAGTTGGGAATGGGAGACTGTGAAGCAATTGGTACTTACTGAGCACCGGGTTTGGTGCTTTATATTCAGGACTTTTGAACTCAGAACCTTACCTCACTGTGGTGGTTTGAATGAAAATGTCCCCCATAGGCTCCAAGTATTTTGACATTTTGTCCCCAGATAACAGCGCTGTTTTGGGAGGTTTTAGAAGGTGTGGCTATCCTGGAGGAAGCACATCACTGAGGGTGGGCTTAGAGAGTTCTTAAGCCTTGCCAGATCTCCAGTCACTCTTTTGTTTCCTGTGCCTGGTGATGATGTGAGAGCTTCACTTCTGCTGCTCCTGTTCCAGCCACCTCCAGCCACCATGCCTCCCTGCCATGACAGACTGTAATTACCCTGGAATCGTAAGCTTAAATAAACTCTTCCTTCTATAAATTGCTTTGGTCAGTGTTTCTATCACAGCAACAGAACAGTGACTAATATAGTAATTGGTACCAGAAGTGGGGTGTTGGCTGTGAAGAACCTGACCATGTGGGGTTTTGGAAAAATGTGGAAGACTTTGGAAGTTTGGGCTAGAAAAATGATTGATTGCTGTAAGCAGAGCTTAACAGGCCATTCTAGTAAACACCTGGAAGAAAGTAGTGCTTCTCTAGTAAACACCTGGAAGAAAGTAGTGCTGAGAACAATGTAGTTCCAGAGGAAAATAAAGACTTAAGCAGCACTTGGGATATTTTTGCAGAGACTGGCTGGAGTCTGCCCTCAACCTAAAAGCTTGCCTGAGGCTAAGTTGAAAAGCAATGAACTAATTTCTCTGGTGGTAGAAATTTCAAGACAGCCTAATATTGAAATGGTGGCATGGATATTAATGGTGAATATTATGCAGATCTACAGTGGAAAAGAGAAAATGGGGCAAAAAGAAATACAGTTTGGATTGAAAAAGAGCACTAGGAAGATAAATGTTGGAGCCTTGGCATGTGCTGGAGAGGATCCCATTGATAAGGAGATTAAAGTGACTAAGGAGGGGCCTAGAGATTCGGACTTAAACAGTGGAGAGAGTGCCTCCAGGGCAGGACCACACCCAGTTAAGCCTCCAACGTGTGAAAAGAAAATGCTGCAGGGGCCATGGAAGAGAAAAGTTTCTAAAATGGCTACAGCAGACTGGAGTCCACCCTAAAGTTGCAGTCAAACTTGGTAGTGATGCTCACCTGGTGCTGGCTTCAGAGGCATGAAAGATGGAAGAGTGAAGGGGTCATCAATTATTCCTCTGAGGTTTCAGAGAGCCTGGGCGGGCAGGCAGTGTGAAGCAGGGATTCCCCTGCCTAGAGAAGGCCCTGATAGGCCATTGCATGAAGCTGTGAAGTTGAAGCCTGGTTGGCAATGGAGAGCCCAAGAAGTTTGTGATGCCAGCGCTGTGAGGCATCTGCCAAAAAGACCTGCATACAGGGGGTGGTACAGCACAAGAGAGAGATGTGTGTTGCACACAGCAAAGCTAGAGAAGCTGAGCCACCTAAGCTCTTTGGAAGTAAAGTCCCAGAAGTTGGACATGGAGCTAATGGATTCGGTGTTTGCCCTGCTGGTTTTCGGTCTTGTTTTGGTCCGGTATTTCCTTATTATGCCTCCATTCCTCCCTTTTGGAATGGTAATGTGTATTTGGTTCCACTGTATGTTGGGATTATGTAATTTGTCTTTTGATTTTATAGAGGCTTGCATTTTGCATTTTATATGATCATAAGCCTATGGGGGCAGGGAGTGGAATGTGGTGGTTTGAATGAAAATGTCCCCCATAGGCTCCAAGTATTTGGATATTTTGTCCCCAGATGATGGAGCTGTTTTGGGAGGTTTTAGAAGGTGTGGCTATCCTGGGAGAAGCAC